TTAGTCCAAGAAAATGCAATCTACCCACACCTCTCTCTCGTCTTACTGCTTTCACCCTGTCATAAAACTCCAGTAGATTTGTGAAACAGGATTTCCCTTCCCTGAAACTGTGTTGGCTGTTCCACAACTCTTCTTTTCATAATCTTCTCTATGACTTTGCATACTATACATGTCAGTGACACTGGTTACCATTTGGTGTGTGTGTGTGTGTGTGTGTGTGTGTGTGTGTGTGTGTGTGTGTTGTGTGTGTGTGTGTGTGTGTGTGTGTGTGTGTGTGTGTGTGTGTGTGTGGTGTGTGGGTGTGTGTGTGTGGTGTGTGTGTGTGTGGTGTGTGTGTGTGGGTGTGTGTGTGTGTGGGTGTGTGTGTGTGTGTGTGGTGTGGGTGTGGTGTGTGTGTGTGTGGTGTGTGTGGGTGTGTGTGTGTGGGTGTGTGTGTGTGTGTGGGTGTGTGTGTGTGGGTGGGTGTGTGTGTGTGTGTGTACATGCATGTGTCTGTATACTGCTGTGTACATGCATACATGTATGCATATGCATCTATGTGTATATATTACTTATTTGGGTAATAATACACATACACACACACAAACATACACAAGCACACAATGAATGTTTAGTGTAAATGGTGTATATTGAGGGAACTTGTTAAACTTCTTGTGAAACGAAGAGCATATCTACGTACACTATCACCTATATAAGAATGACTATATAGAATGTCAATATAGAATGTCAGTGTTATTAAGAATGATCTATAAAGAATGTCAGTGTTATTAACCCGTAAACGGTCCAAACGTATATATACGTTTTTTCAACATTTGAAAGTATGTAAAAAAAGTAGATCTTTTTGTTTTTTTACATTTGAAAATGTGTAAAAAACTTTGATCTACTTTTTTTTTGTTATATTTTAAAATATGTAAAAAAAAATGTAGATCTACTTTTGTAGCGCTACACATGTGAATGTAGATCTACTTGGACCGTTTACGGGTTAAGAATGATCTATATAGAATGTCAGTGTTATTAAAAATGATCTATATAGAGTGTCAGTGTTATTAAGAATGACCTATATAGAATGTCAGTGTTATTCTAATGCACAACTAGTCAAAAATTTCAAAACATGATCTTATATATTCCACATCAAAAATATGTTGGTTATTAAAAATGATCTTTATCAAAAATGGTTGGAAAGTTTCCAGTAATTTAGCGGAAGCTGACGGTTAAATAGGTGTAAGCAAAATTGCAGACAAAAATACTTGAAAATTTTAAGAAAATAAAAATAAAATATAAAAAAGAAAAAAGAAAAAACTGCACAGCTCATTCTCAAAAACAAAATATCATTATATACACACACACATATTTTATACATATATGTATGAACATTACATTCATATATGTATATAACTGGTTGATATATGTCAACGAAGAACAAGGTAATCATCAAGAATCGTATGTCAATAAGACATAAGGATCATTTTCACAGGAGCAGGAGAGAGGAAGGGCAGGGCACACAAGGACAGACCTATTAAGAAATCCATGTGGAATATCCAATACCGAAAATGAGTCAAGCAACATAGCCTTCTCTCTTTTGTATATTATTCCACATGGTTAATTAGGTTAAAAATATAATATTCTTTTAAATACTGAAACATCAGAAAGAAAAGAATTTCTTTATTTAACCAAGTTTTATATTGCAAAATATATATCAGAGTAAGCAAGTAAATATTAAATATATTAAATTCTTTTCCTTCTATACAATGAATGCCAGTTGTATTGGGTTGACGAGGTCCAGAAATCAGTTAAACATTCCTTGTGCATGAGTCATCTATTGTGCAGGCCTGATAGGTGCAGGAAGTGTGTGTGCAACAATGAGTAAGATTATGATGTGCAACACTGTGTGGGAGTACCGCTGTAAGTTTGCACAACTACTGTATGGGATAGGGTTACCACTATACAAGTTAAGTTTTATCCATTTCTTTTCTACTTTGAAATTATTAACTGAGAATTAGTCTTCTAATATTTACAACTAAAAAAATAATAAAAATAACTGCTCATGTGTAACTATGAATGTTAACTGTAAATAGCAACAAAACTAGTTTTAAAAATGAACTAGAAAAGAAAGAAGCACAGCTAAGCACTCTGGACACTGTACCAGCAGGCCAAACCACAACTTATGCTCAGAGTTTGAAAATTAACAATGCTGCATACTGGTAGCCAAAAACAGTTTATCTGTAGTATTAAGTAATAGTCTCCACCAATAACTGCCACACAAAAACTGAACTGGGAGCTGCTGCAAGTCCAACCTCTTCGTGTGGCTACTTAAGAAAATGTGTACTGTATTTGTCTCTGATGGGAAAAATCATAACACTGCATCTTATTGTAATCCCAGAGCAGATGAGGGTCATGAAACATGCAATCTTATCTTACCTACATTAATATTACAAGCAATGGATAATGCTGCACCTGTTTATCAGGAAGCCAATGTCTGATATGTTGCAATAATGTCTGACATGTTGCAATAATGTCTGACATGTTGCAATAATGTCTGACATGTTGCAATAATGCATGTCAACAAGGAATGGCTTAATCCTTTACTTCTTGTAATATATGAATTTGGGTGACTCCTTTTCTTGAAAATGTGATACTAATAATATTAATATTTGGTGTGATGATGCAATCCACAAAATATCTTTTAATGTGAAAGAGAATGTCAATGTAAAATACAAACTGTACAATATTACATAAAAGCATTAACAGGTGCTTGCTACATATACCATACCTCAGTACTGTATCTACACATAAATGGGAAACAATAACTCTTGAGTCTTTAATTTTTAACGTGTTAATATGCACTAGAGTGTGATGACTATTTTGTATGTAACTTTAATACTAATATATTAAGGTAGGTGAAAAACAAATTCTTAGTTGACACACAAATTATTTCTTTCCCAATAAAAATTCTTCATGCTTGTTATCAGGATCACTATAAAGGAATTAAATTAAACACACTACTACTACAGCATGCTTTAATAAGTGCAACATAAGAATAAAAGTCACAAAACCATGGCTGAAACAATTCACAGCTTACTAAAAAATTGCATGTGACGCTAGATGATACTTTGGTTCATTCTGAACCATTATTAAGTCGCGAGTTGATAATGGTTCATAACAGACCAAAGTGTCATCTAGTTTTATATCCAATTTGTGAGTTTGTTGTGAAGTGCAACATAATTATGAAAGTAATGCATGTACCTATAGAGTTTTATAATCCGTAAGTTAAATCATGCAATAGATGATAAAGAAATGAACTAAAAAACTCAAAATGAAAGAATGAAGATAAATCTAACAAGAATTATAAAGTGAATTATCAAAGAAGGGAGAGTTCATGAGAATATGCTTCAATTTCATAAACTGGGAAAACTCTTTAGAGAATAAACATAAACAAAACTATATGAATTGATAATGCAGAGTGAAGCCCTCCATCCTTTGCTGATCCACAAGAGTTACATTATAAGCCATGTTTACTATAGGCTAGCTACTTGATTACTGTTTAACTTGGAATATTGATTTAAGCCCAACATATACTTTGTTATTATCTATTCACTTCTTCAAATTAGAGAGTGAATTTCAATAAAATTATTATAGTTTTCATGAGGATTCTTCATACTATGAAGAACATAACATTGGCTGACAGTGCATAAACTTCAAACAAATAATTAAAAGTTTCTTAACAATACACATTTAAGTTCTGCTGAGTTAAAAATGACATCCCTACTGTTATCACTGAATTCTAATGACAATGACTGAACTATGAGTGAGTACAGTAGTATCAATAACAATGTGAAATTATCACACTCCTATAACTGTGATACTAGTCTTAACATGTTCAACATTTTTATGAAATAGTGAAAGAAACACTCCATAATAGTTGTAATTTAGCCATCAAATAATCAACATATAGCAATATACACTTCATAGACATTATGTTTAAAAAAAAAAAAAAAAAAAAAAAAGGAATTAAGTCTTTGTCACCTTAAGAAATATGAAAATAAAACTGTGCTGAATTACTTGCAGAGCACAACCTTATCAAATTTAACAAAAGAAGCAATAATCAGTACCAATTTTGTAATTAAATAATTGAAAAAGAAATTTTAGCAATTGGGAAATGATTTCTATGTACTGTACTTCAGTAACAGCCAATTGTCAAAATAAACAACTTTCCAATGAGAAAACTTAATGCATATAAACTCAAACTCTATATTTCCAACTATATTTTCATACAGTTTCTACTCTGCTATACTCAAAAAAAATTTGAACTTACTGTCTTCTCAATTATTAAATTTATCCAAGACAGAAAATTCTTGATGATAGTGGTTATTTATGAAGTATCATTTGTCTTCATCTTTTAAAAAGAAATACAGTGTTATTATAGTATAAAAAAATTTAGAAAGCAAATGTGATTATTAGTGTGCTAATTCTAGTAAGCTGATCTAGTAAGCACTGAAGGGGACTAAGAAAATGACTCAAACTACCAAGGAAGCTCCTGTAGCCAATTACTGTCTAATATATGTGTTCACTTGGTGAACATCACAATACCATTATTTAACGGCTCTTTCACCAACCACATTTATCCATCTTTTAACTTATGTGAGTGAACATAAAAAATATCAATGTATTTTGTAAAATATAGCAAAGAAAAAGATAAAAATCCCATTTGTTAATGGATATGAATGCAATACGATATAATGTTCTTTATAAAAATAACAGTATAATGTACTTTATAAAAATAACATTGCAAAATAATGCAACAATTATCTGTCATAACATTCAAAGCTATGAGCATTTCTCAATACACTAGATCAGCCACCTGGAATAGATCATAGACTGGTAGGAGTTCTCTTTTGTAATATAAGTGAACTATTTTTTGGTGTGTTTGTGTGAGTAAGAGCAGTTTTAGCCATGGATGTGCACGTGGGTGTGGGGCCACTTGGATGCGCAACAACACATACCTTAGCTGATGATGCCCGTATATCTTCTGCAGGAGTAGGAGAAGTGGCTCTGGGATCACCATTGGCTACACCAACAATTGAGCCCCCACCAGGAGCATTAGGAGGAACTCGTTGCTCCTGCACTGAAGCTAACCTGGTGGCAGATACATATCTGACCTATTATTATCCATGTTTTATCACTGTCCATGTTTTTTAATGTAAACTCCATATACAGAACTGTATTAATTAATCAACTATTTTTCTGTATTCATTTATCATCCTGTATTAACATTTACTATTATGGCATACAATCAAGCATTGTTACTCGGGAATCTCTCATTTTGGAGATCATAAATGTGACTTTGCACCCAGGACTAAAACCAGAGCATCTAATTTCTAAATTTTTGAACTAAAACAATTTCTGCACAATTCTGTTTTAATCCGTAAGTTTTCTTTTAATCCATTACTAGCTTTATTAAAAATCTGTTCTGAGAGAGATTAACAAAACTGAGGTCGCAAATTTAATGCAGCTTGCCCTTAACCCTTTGACTGTTTCAGGCCCCTCTCTGAAACTGTCATTCTATGTCGCTCAATTTTTGAAAAAAAAAAAAATTATTTTTTCTTATGAAATGATAGAGAATCTTTTCCCGATGGTAATGACACCAAAAGTTCGAAATTTGGTCGAAAACTCGAGGAATTATGCTCCCGCGAAGTTAGCGGTCTCGGCGACATATGCGTATCGGCGATTTCGCCGACTTTGAGCCCAATTTTCAGCATATTCCATTGTTCCAGTTGACCAAACTCATAGCTATTTCTTTAGAACTCCATTTTATCTATTAGCTGAGTACAAGAAACCTCCCATTTACTAATTTGGACTACCCAATATGGTGGTCAGAAATTGGCAATTTGGCCAATTTCACGCAAAATAAAAAAGATGCCAATTTCAAAATAGGGTCCAGAATAAACAAGGTAGACATTCGTGGCACTAAAATAACATATGCTCTGTTCGTTAGTCACATCTCTAGGCCCCTCTTATATTATTATTGCTTTCTATTTTGATTTTTTATTCATACAAAAAAATACAAAATTTACTGTTATGCAGACGACTGCATTATTGTAAAAATGGTATAAATAATATCAGTGCACTAGTGAAAGAATATTAGACTCCCCAGTTGACGTGTATTGGACATGTGGTGTGATTTATTTACTCTTGAACATTGGTAAAAATCGAACATTTCCGCTACTTTGAGCTCAGTTTCAAGGTCGTTTTCATCGTAAAAGTAATGAAAATTATCTCTATTTCTGTAATATGTTTTCCATTTTATCACCTAAGACCATGAAAACGCAAATACAACGATAAATACTATACGAAAATACACCTCAAAGTCGGCGTTTTATTCCAAAAAAACGATCAGAGTTTTTTTTTTCTCATTATGCAATGTGTGCTGCAGGATTTTTTTTATGTGGTGCACACTGACCACACAGACCCATTCTCTCACATGTGGGCCTACCAGCTTTCTCCCACTTGATTTGAAGCCGCTAGAATTATTGAGTATATATACGTCAGAAACATTGGCTCGTAAGACGTATTTATACGTCGAAAACAGTCAAAGGGTTAAAGCAGGTAGTTAGTGTGCCCATTAGACATGTTTGTTGAGAAAAAAGGCAAAAAACACTTTCTACTTGGTGGTCATTTAACATCAACTGCAAAGTAATTATGACAATACAGTGGAACCTCTACTTGCGAGTTTAATCCATTCCATGAACTTGCTCGCAACTGGATTTGCTTGTTTGCAGAGTCAATTTTCCTCATTTAAATTAATTGAAACACAATTAATCCATTCCAGTGGAATTCTGTACATTATTAATTTCACTAATATCAACTCTACGGCTTATTTATCTATCACAGTTCATCTAATATGACATAACAAACAATATAAATAACATAGAAACCTGATATATACTCTAGAAGGAATAAAATACATGTGTGTCATTATATATGTGGCAGCGACAGCTGCCGATGTGAGTCTGTCTGGAGACAGGACAAAATACACTTTGAATACTTCGCTATCATCAACTCTATGGCTTATTTATCTATCACAGTTCATCTAATATGAAATAATAAACAATATAAATAACATAGAAACCTGATATCTTATTTGATACTTATTTGATACTGGAGTTCCGCAGGGAAGTGTCCTTGGACCCCTGCTCTTCCTCATTTACATCAATGATCTTCCAAACATATCCCAACACCTGAAACCCATTCTCTTTGCTGACGACACGACTTATGTCATCTCCCACCCTAATCTTGAAACCCTCAACACCATTGTTAACGAGGAGTTGCTCAAAATATCGACTTGGATGACAGCCAATAAACTTACACTTAACACTGGCAAAACCTACTATATTATGTTTGGTAGCAGAGCAGGTGTTGCGCAACTTAACATTAAGATCGACAACACTCTAATTGGCAGACATAATGAGGGCAAATTCCTTGGCCTATACCTCGACAACAACCTAAATTTCAGCACCCATAACCAACACATAACAAAAAATGTATCCAAAACGGTGGGGATCCTCTCCAAGATATGATACTACGTGCCGCAAACTGCCCTTCTCACACTATACCATTCACTTATATACCCATACCTCACCTATGCTATCTGTGTTTGGGGTTCAACTGCAGCAACACACCTAAAGCCAATAATAACCCAACAAAAAGCCGCAGTAAGAATAATCACTAAATCCCATCCCTGGCAAACACCCCCCCCCCCACTCTTCATAGATCTAAACTTACTCCCTGTTCAGAACATCCACACTTACTACTGTGCAATCTATATCTACAGGACCTTAAATTCCGATATTAACCTTGACCTAAAATGCTTTCTTGATAGTTGTGACAGGATCCACAGGCATAACACCAGACACAAACATCTCTATGACATTCCCCGTGTTCGACTAAACCTTTACAAAAATTCAATGTATTTCAAAGGACCTAAAATCTGGAACACCCTACCTGAAAACTCTAGAACTGCAGACACATTCATCACTTTCAAAACTACAGTTAGAAAACATCTTATCTCCGTGATCCACCCCGACAAGTAACTACATGATAACCACCTGGTGGTTCACAATTACACTCACTCACCCACTGACTATAAACCCAGAAATACTAATCTTAATCTTAAAATAATAAATCCTAACTAGGCATAAGTTTGCCTATGATACTCCAATATAGACACTTTGTATTGTGCCAATACAAATGCATTCACATTGCTAAACTCACAAATTATGATGTAGTCACTTAGCCTTAATACCATAATCTGTAAGGATTTAATGTTAAGAATTAATCTAAGTTTGCCTGAAATGTCTAGCCAGGCTAGGTGTCCTAGTGGCCCCCTCTGTAATTAGTATTTTATAACATGTAAACCACACAATACCCAAAACCTGTAAACCCTACATTGTAACACTTACAGAGAATAAACTTGAATTGAATCGAACTAAATTGAATATATACTCCAGAATGCATAAAATCTGTCATTATGTAACAGGTGGAGGCAGCCACAACCACTCCCTCTTTGTTGTGGTAAACACTGCCATCTAGTGACCACCTTTTGAAGTCGTCCATTATTATAATTATTATTATGTAGTACGTTATTATTATACGTATTATATTATTATTATTATTATTGTATTAGTATATTATTATACTATTTTTTTTATTATCACACTGGCCGATTCCCACCAAGGCAGGGTGGCCCGAAAAAGAAAAACTTTCACCATCATTCACTCCATCACTGTCTTGCCAGAAGGGTGCTTTACACTACAGTTTTTAAACTGCAACATTAACACCGCTCCTTCAGAGTGCAGGCACTGTACTTCCCATCTCCAGGACTCAAGTCCGGCCTGCCAGTTTCCCTGAACCCCTTCATAAATGTTACTTTGCTCACACTCCAACAGCACGTCAAGTATTAAAAACCATTTGTCTCCATTCACTCCTATCAAACACGCTCACGCATGCCTGCTGGAAGTCCAAGCCCCTTGCACACAAAACCTCCTTTACCCCCTCTCTCCAACCTTTCCTAGGCCGACCCTACCCTGCCTTCCTTCCACTACAGACTGATACACTCTTGAAGTCATTCTGTTTCGCTCCATTCTCTCTACATGTCCGAACCACCTCAACATCCCTTCCTCAGCCCTCTGGACAACAGTTTTGGTAATCCTGCACCTCCTCCTAACTTCCAAACTACGAATTCTCTGCATTATATTCACACCACACATTGCCCTCAGACATGACATCTCCACTGCCTCCAGCCTTCTCCTCGCTGCAACATTCATCACCCATGCTTCACACCCATATAAGAGCGTTGGTAAAAGTATACTCTCATACATTCCCCTCTGCCTCCAAGGACAAAGTTCTTTGTCTCCACAGACTCCTAAGTGCACCACTCACTCTTTTTCCCTCATCAATTCTATGATTCACCTCATCTTTCATAGACCCATCCACTGACACGTCCACTCCCAAATATCTGAATACATTCACCTCCTCCATACTCTCTCCCTCCAATCTGATATTCAATCTTTCATCACCTAATCTTTTTGTTATCCTCATAACCTTACTCTTTCCTGTATTCACCTTTAATTTTCTTCTTTTGCACACCCTACCAAATTCATCCACCAATCTCTGCAACTTCTCTTCAGAATCTCCCAAGAGCACAGTGTCATCAGCAAAGAGCAGCTGTGACAACTCCCACTTTGTGTGTGATTCTTTATCTTTTAACTCCACGCCTCTTGCCAAGACCCTCGCATTTACTTCTCTTACAACCCCATCTATAAATATATTAAACAACCACGGTGACATCACACATCCTTGTCTAAGGCCTACTTTTACTGGGAAATAATTTCCCTCTTTCCTACATACTCTAACTTGAGCCTCACTACCCTTGTAAAAACTCTTCACTGCTTTCAGTAACCTACCTCCTACACCATACACTTGCAACATCTGCCACATTGCCCCCCTATCCACCCTGTCATACACCTTTTCCAAATCCATAAATGCCACAAAGACCTCTTTAGCCTTATCTAAATACTGTTCACTTATATGTTTCACTGTAAACACCTGGTCCACACACCCCCTACCTTTCCTAAAGCCTCCTTGTTCATCTGCTA